ACGGCACATAACAACAACAACAACACAATTATCACTGTGGTATGTGGGTAAGGTAGGCTTTTTGAAAAAATGGATTTGAGTGCCAGTTTGCATAGCACATTGGCTTTTCATTCAGCCTTTTATACTTATTTTGTTATATAACATTAATTACAATACCTACCAGGTTAATCTCCTATTTCCCACTTCCTCCCTATATATCTCAACTCCATCCATCCTTCTACTCTACCCTTTCCTGCCTTCAGTTGTATTCATGGGCAGATGCTGCTCTTTTGACCTGACCAGGCTGGCTGTTCAGAGCAGTGAGTGCCTCGCTGGTGTTACTTACTGGTCTACTCACAGGCCAGGCCTGTACATTGTTCGGTTGAAAGAGAAGCCATGGGTGGTGAGCTGAATCTTTTAACTTAGAAATTGTATGGACAGATAATAAATTGCATATCTTAAAAGTGTAAATGTGGCAGGTTTGACATACGTATGTACTCATGAAAATTTCACCCCCAATCATGATAGTTCAGTGTTTGGGATTTTCTTTCTTATCCCCATTTCACAAATGAGAAACTAAGAAGATAAATGACTTAAGGATACAAGAACACATGGTCCACAACAGTGCACTTAACAATTAATCTTTACTGGGGGGAGAGGGGAAAATGAAATTGTAAAAACAAAAGTTTGACCCTATTGAGATGAGAACAGGCTATTTGAGAACACTGAATATACATTACTGCATGTTCTTTTCTGTCATTTTGCCATGCCAGAAAGGCACAGAGATTGTGTTTATACCTCCTATAACCTCCCCTTTCTTTCCACAGCATCACCCCTCTTGCCTTTCTACAGGGGCACCAGTAAGACATGGGCAAGTACTATGCTATCCTATGCGGGCATGATGCAGGGACCTTGTTTCCTCCTGTGGCTTGGCCAGTGGAAATGCCAAATGTTTATCTGTAAGATACAGTACTAATGGCTTCTCTGGAGGAAAATGGTGACTGTGAGGTCCTTTGCAGAATGAAGCTCTATCCTAAGATCTCAGAGCACATGACTTAATGTGTGGCAGGGCTGGGTTTAAGGTTACACAGACACTGGCTATAACACAGAGTGCACTGAGTATACTGTGTATACTAGGTGGTAACTGCTAATCCCACAGTGCTCTGTTATAGAAACAATAGTCCCAAACAAGCTTGGAAGCAGAAGTGGCATCCACTGAAGAAAGGATGAAAGTTATACAAGTGTTCAGGTCTTTTGTTCATAGGGTCGGTACGAGTCATCTACGACTTGATAGCACTTAACAACATCATAGGGAGAGCTCTGTTGGCCTAGCGGATAGAAAGTGATGCTACCAAGCCAAAAGTGGGTGATTTTAATCTGCAGCCCTCAAGTCTGGTTTTACTTGTTTTTTTGATCAAACATTCTTCTAAGTGGTATAGCACTGATCTGTCCACTTGCTGTATAGAAGTAACTCATGGTTGCTGTGATGCTAAACACTGTGACACTGATGTGTCAAATGCAATAATGGTTACCAATGGTGAAGCTCCCTGATTAAAATAAGTTTGGAAGAGGAATGGCATCCACTTTCCGAAACTCTGGAAACTCTATGAACTTAGAGAAATGATGAAAGTTATACAAGTGTTCAGGTCTTGTTTATAGGGTCACTATGAGTCATCTACAACTTGACAACACTTAACAACAACAACAATGTGTGAATCTCAAGGACCAGCGGTGGAAAAGTGAGTAAAGTATGAGGGTGACAGCCAGACGTGGATAGTTTAAATCTATCAGCTTCTCCATGGAAGAAGAGCAGTCTTACTTGAAGATTTACCGCTTCGGAAAGCCAATGGAAGGCTGCCAGGAGTCAAGGGCAGTGGATTTGTTGGTAGTTTTTTGTTGTGTTTTTTTTTTAAATGCTAATGTAAACATCCTCCAGCTCTCACCCTCAGCCAGTATTTGAGAAACCAAGGTCATGGTCAAGTTGAGCTGTCTTTCTTTTTCTTTTCCTTACATAGAATCTTTTTTTGTTTAAATATATGCACTTTCCTATTTTAATGAAAAAACAAAAAATAAAAAAACAAAATTATGTGAAATACCACCCTGTGTTGCAGGAAATGACAGCTTTGTTTAATCAACAGGGCCTATTCCAAAGAGTAGAAACCAGGAAGAGAAAATGTCCATACATTTTTGTTATGTTTAAAATGATGGTATTTTCCAAGCCCTTTAAACTTCTGAGGAATTCTGCTAACAGATTCTTTTTGAATCTTTCAGCTTTTTCTTCAAAACAACATCCTGATCTATCTTATGCCAGCCACCACTCTGTAAATTTTCAAATATTAAATGAATTACCTGCTGACATATTTTTTTAAAAATGAGACTAGAACAGATATGGTGACACCAACTTCCAAGCCCTCATTTATTTTTCTCTCGTTAAACAGTTAGATTTAGACATAAAACTCCTTTTGGCATTTAATTATTTTTCTGTGCTTCTTGGAACACAGAATTTGAAATCTTGGAACTGGATTGCTGGTGTGCTTAAACTCAAATTTGAAAGATAACTATAAAGAGTAAAGCTATTATTCTAGCAATAAACACGGCATCTTTCTAACACTGTTATTTACGTTGTCAGTGAGCCAGTTGACTCACAGCCACGCCGATGTTTGGGCCCACTGTTGTAACCTATACGTTATCGCACTTTCTTGAGGTTTGTCCTCCTTTCAGGTGAGTTCTCGCTTAACATGATGTCCTTCTCCAGGGATTGGTCCCTTTTGTCCCAAGTAATGAGAAAAAAAAACCTTACCAACCTCATCTCTCAGGAGCATTCTGTCTGCTCTTCTAAGTTAGATATTTTTCCTTCTCCTGACCACTTGTGAATTCGATATTCACCATGTCTCATGGGAGGTTTAGAGTTTCTGGTGTAGCTCTGTTGTATCTCTCCTGCATTTAGTTGCTCCTAGTTGAGAACTCAGAATTTATTCTTTATGCTCCAATGTTGTTATTGTCAGGTGACATCAAACTCTGACTCATCACAACCTTACGCACCGCAGAACAAGACTGTGTCCGGCTCTCCTACCATCCTCTGCGTTACTACGTACTCAACAAATGCATTTGACTACTCACTTGTTAGGACCACTGCGTTGGCTGAAGGAGAAATGGACAACTCAGCAACGTCCTCCTCGTTTTTCACAGGTGAGTAGCGCACCAAGAAGCTGGTCAGTTCAATAGAGGGAGGTGGGGCCCAGGTGACACGCATGGTGTCTGGACCAATGTTGGTGAATCGCAGGTCCGTGGGAGGAGGGACAGCTGGGTTCAAGTAAGCAGGAAGACTCAATTAATGTCATTTTAAACTGAGAGTTGACAAAAATAACTGGAAAAGCTAAAACCAGGATTTCATGCATAAAGGAAACAGTCATCATCATGCAAATGATCTACAGCTAAACGAAATCATAGTCGACTATGATTTAAACTAAAATCCTACACACGGTACTGTTAGGCCCCTTTAACCTTTCTGCCATTCGTCAATATAGTTTAAAGGAAAATCAGAATCTCATTTCTCACACATTGATTATCAGTGTGTTATTAATAGCACTAGAGATTATTTTGATCTGAGGCTGAAGAGGCTTAAGTTGCCACACAGCAAAGAGAAACACGGCGGGACTTTCTGAACAATCACATGCACACAGACAGGACTTGAAGGTCTTACATTGCCCCCTGAGGTGGGACATCTACAGCTACCAGGAGTGTTGTAATTCCATTCAGTGAAGTCTAATCACAGTGAAAAGGGTTCATGCAAGTCGGTTCTCGGCATGTGTCTTACCATGCAGGGCAGAGAACCTCCATAATGCTGCATGCTCGCCCCCAGACTCTGGTTAAAGAGGTGTTTCTAACAATAGCGCTTGGTGTCTACTGTATTCTTTTCTCGCATCTCAAGAATAACGTCCTTCTACTCTACCCTAGACCTCCATGGGTTCCCAGCTCATGACAACGGCCCATGGTACAGTTCATAAAAGGGTAAAAGGAAGCACCCAGTGGTCCACTTTGGAAGCACGTGGTTTCTCGTTAATGGATGCTCATGATGCAATTCAAGATGAATGGGAGAGACCAAAAAGTCTGCTATGTTTGCAAATGTCAGCAACCTTTCCCTTTGGTATCAAATTAGTTGTCTGGGCCGCCCACCGATTTGTGGCTTGAATGAAAGCATGTTTAAGATTCTTTGCATATGACGTCATGCAATCTCTTAAGCACTTGCGTGTGATTCCCTCTCCCTGAAACCAAATCTTTGGGTTCTCCTTGGAAACATCCAAATTTAACCAGAGTGCCCAGTGGCAGCATGCAACACTATCCATGTGTCAAGCACAGAAGTTTTCAAAATTCACCCGTTTGCTGTGTCAGTGTGGTGGGGGCACTCTCTCCGCCATTAATGAGAGTGGTAACGCTGATGTCATAGTCAATGCCCGGCTCCAGCCCTGTAACTGTGTAGTATCCTACTGAGGAGTCCACAAAATCTTCAAAAATGGGGATCCCTTCTCCTGACGCAACTACTGTGATGCGGTACCCAATAATGGTGGAAGAGTTTAGCGGGGTCCACCTCAGGCCGATGCTTGAATCAGTTATGTCAACAAAGCTTAGGTCAGTGAGCTGGGGCACCTCTATTGAGTTACAAAGCAAAGAGAGGGCGAGAGAAAAATAGAGGCAAAAAAGGAAAAAAAGAAAGCAGTGTTCATCAGGTTACAAGTGGTCAACTCGGTGGATTGTTAAAGCAATGATGGTAATATGCAAACGGCTTCAAATCATCTGAAAAGACAGCGTAGGTGTGTTTCCCTGGCAGGATGAAACAAGGTACAATATTCATTTAGGGATTGGCTTTCATTTTAATAATGTTCCCTCAGTAGGACGTCTCGAACTTCTCAGGTTCCTAAAAGTCAAAGGCCTGGTGAGAATGTCAAAATCATTTCTACAACGTTAGACATTATATCTGCTGTTAAGTATCAGCAATGGTTTTTTGTTTTGTTTTGCATTTTAAAAAAAAAAATTTCAACACTTTTTAGTAGGAAAATAAAGCCTGCCCATAAAAGGTTAAAAAAGTAAAGGCTGATGAGTTTTGTTTTTTTAAAATTCCCTATAAAAACTCATGCCAATAATCATAGTTATAATGCTCTGTGCATTATGAATGTATGTAGGCCATTCCAAACACATTCAGGCTGAAAAAAAGACAGGCCTGGGTTCAAGGCAATTGCCAATAGTTTGCTGAATTCATACTCAAAATTAGCAAAAGCATTCTAACCAAAGAGTGCAAGGGGAACACAATCTGTGAGATGCTTCATTCTGTCCTAATTTTTTTTTGGACCAACAACCAGCCTATCTTTTTCCAGATAGGTCTCTTTGGTGTTGTCTTTCAATCCAGAAGGTGTGGCCTTCACTTCATCCCCCTGCACCTCCCAATTTTAAACCAGAAGGGTATGAAACCACCACACGAAGAATGCTCATGCCAAACAAGAGCTATCACTGTGTTCACCCAAGGAGACAAATGCACTTTTGTAGAAGACTGCTGAAAATTGATGAGGACTGTAAAATCAGGCTCAACTGTGCCAATGCGATGCATTTACCATCTCACTTTTGGCCCGTCAGTACTGAGTACACACAAAGGACATTGTTTTAGTAGAACGTCCACGTGAGCGGGCGGGGCAAAGTTAATGCTACGGTGCCACTCCATTCCTTACAAACCCATCGCAGCAGACAGCCCCTCAGTGAAGCAGACAGTAAAGCAGTGTTAACAGCAAGCATTTCTCCATGGAGTTGGTTCCACTTCAGGGTTTTGGAGAGTGTGATGGGGAAATTGGAATTGAATCGCAAGTACATTTGACACATTCAACCATTTAGGGATTAAGATGCTAATCCCTACTCTTCTCCGAACTGCCACTCTGAAGAGAACAGCTTATTTTTCCATTACCTGGGATGATGGTTTCAGAGATAGGGACACTTTCCTTGTCATCTTTGACAGTATAAACACTGACATTATACTCCAGGCCAGGACTCAGGTTTTCAAAAGTGCAGGAACTTTGATCAGCGTGGACCACTTCTTCCAAAGAATATCCCTGCTGGCCATTGGTGGGGGTTGTGGTAATTCTATAACCAGAAATGTCTAGAGAAAACAGAAGGGACAAGGTTATAGGACAAAGCTTTTGTGGCCCAGAGCAGATTAAACTGAACCCCAACTATGGAGGGACTCACAGAGGAAAACAGGGAGATGGTTTGGTTTTAGGGTTTTGTACTGTCAGTAAGGAGCAAGGATCTCATTTTGAAGGCTAAGTTGCACCGGATCTAGGTCATGGTCTTTTCAATCACTTGCTAAGCTATGTAGGACAATGCATAAGGATGGCAGAAGAATGGATGCATTTGAGTTATGTTGGAGAAGGGCACTTATTGGGCATCCCACGGACTGCAAAAAGAACAAACAGTTATGTTTCAAAGACATTACAACCACAGAGTTCTACCTGGTCATTAGAGTTCCCTTTAGTAAGGTGGAGGGTCAGGGAAAAAGAAGGAGCATATCCCCATACAGAGTTGTCCTAAGCGAAAAGCTCTGTAAGTGTATGGGAAATACAAAAAAAGTAAAAAACAGAAGTTATGCCTAGAGAAAGAATATTAATTGCTGAGGAGTTCAGGAACCACAGTGTTTTATGTGGATGACAGAGAAGTAGCGATACATTCAGATGAAAACAGTAACGACTAGCAATTTACAGAATAGTCTATGACAAGATTTATACAAGGATGCATACGTTAAATGGGAACGTATATTTAAGTTAAGGTTTCTAAGAGGTAAGGGAAGTATGGAATATTTTGTTATGTGTAACAACGTGAAGCCAAAATGGTTTCTTTGCAGAAATTCAACCATGTAGAAGGTAGATACTTAAATTTCATTTACTGGTGAGTAGCCAGGTAGGCAGGCTAGATCATTAGGATGGATATTAATAATCAAGCAGGCAATAAAAAGGAAACGACTCAACTTAAAATTTGTAACTCAGTCCTCCATGATAGGAAATTGTGTCATTTTGGCTTCAACTCTTTCCACAGATGCAAAACTCCATCAAACCCACCCTTACTTCAGGGGGCAATGAGGATTAAAAGAGACTTAAATTTAAGCTCATTTTCCTCTCATGAGATTTAAAGCAAATCCCTTTGCTTAGGCATACTTTAGCTGTATGCCCAAGCAAAGCTAAGAGATATTTAAGACATCACAGCAAAACTAGAAATAGTGGTATAATAAGCAAAATATACTCCTTAAATTAGCAAGCTTAACAATTAAGGATATAATCATCTTTAGATGAAACAGCCCTTTTCTAATTTAGAATGTTCTCCATAAAGATAGTTTGATTTCCCCAGTATACCCAATATTAAATAATACAAGGATATTTTAGTTAAAATGCCTTATTAAAAGATTATTTTAGAAGACAAAAGCATGTTTAAAATAGTTCATCACATTACTTGAACATTGTTACTTTATTGCTGCTATACATTCTAGGGTTTTATCAAGAATTTTCAACATGCTTAAACAAAGGATTTCAAGAAAAGCTTTGTTTGAAGTTTTAAACAGTCTTAGAATGTCATTTAACAAAATTTCTCAGTACTGAGTATAAGCATAAAATAACACACTCTCAAATTTGTAATGTTGTTTGACACAGAGTCTAAAACAATTTATCATCCAGTTCTATAACATTTTAAATATGTGACTATGGCTAGATACATTTTTTGTTCTAATTCTCAGTTTTTTCATCTGTGAAATGGAAGTAATTTCTGCCCTTCATAACTCATGGATCAGTGCGGGACATGAAAACATCATTTGTGAAACTTCACTAAATATTAAATTTAGACTGACTTAAAAAAGGGAAATTATACAGTCATTTATTTGATAATGCTGAATGCCACTGAGTAAAAAGGAAACTTTCAAAATTCTTTTCCTAATCCCATATAATCTTTGCGTCTTGGCAAGCATCTGTCTTCTCTCTCTCCTGCCTCAGTGCAAAAGCATTTTCTTTCTTTTGATTTAATAAACATTATCAGATTTAAAGGCAGAAATCTCATAACCATCCACAAAGAAGCTGATGGTATAGTGTGTCCTTTGAACTAGAGAGTCCTATGTAAGATGGCACAGGAATGACTGATACACGTAACTAGAGGTGGCAGAGAACCAGAGATTCAGTATAGGAAGAGCTGAGCTAGATCTGGCGCCCTTTGGAGTCACAACCGAGCTCTTTGGCCTGGACTTACTAGTAGAATTGGGGACAGGAGTGCACATAATGGGCAGAACCAAAAAAGTTTTGTAATACTTGCCCACGTTTAGTGCCTGCTTCAAATGAGAGGCTGAGCATCAGAGACCTGAATGAGAGCAGTGTCCTGATTGAAAAATTATATCCAAAGTGCTTCCTATCTAAATTACAACCTATTATTTCCCTGAAAAATCTCTCAATCATGAGTATTAACTGTGAGTTCTATGTGGCCACTGCAACAAAGTAGTGAACCTATTAGAAAAACAGCAAGAGTCATGGTGAGAACAGTTGACGTGAGATTTGATGAGATGTCCCCACAGGAATTGTTTGTACGGCTGATGTTCTAAATGAAGATTCATTTTCCTTGTGGAATCAGAGGAGCCCAGACACTGCCACCCCACGTCCCGGTCATTTAAAAATCCTTCAGTAAAATACTATTTCAAATCCTACTACACTGCCATAGTGGTCAAGACAGTGTGGTATACTGGTATAACGGCAGACACATAGATCAATGGAATAGAATCGAGAACCCAGACATCAGCCCATCTACGCATGGTCAACTGATTTTTGACAAGGACATAAAAACAGTTATGTGGGGAAATGACAGCCTTTTTAACAAACGGTATTGGCAAAATTGGAAAACTATCTGCAGAAAACTCAAGCAAGACCCACATCTCACACCATACACAAAAACTAACTCAAAGTGGATCAAGGACCTAGGACTAAAACCAAGGACTATAAACTTCATTAGAGAAATGCTTGGAAGAACTCTAGAAGCCCTAATCCACAATATGAAGTCTTCCAACCATCCTGAAAAACCTACAACCAGGAGAGGATAAAAGAGATGAATGGGACCTTCTAAGAATCAAATCCCTATACACATGCAAAAACTTCTCCAGTAGGGTAAAAAAGAAAAACCACAGACTGGGAAAAAATATTCGGTAATGATGTCAGATAAAGGACTTATATCTAGAATTTATAAAATACTCTAGCACCACAACAAGATAAAGGCAAACAACCCACTTGAAAAATGGGCACAGTATATGAACAGACACATCACCAAAGAAGATGATGGCAAATAACACACGAAGAAATGTTCAAAATCCCTAGTTCTTAGATGAAATCCAAACAACTATGAGAGCTCATCTCACCCCAGTCAGAATAGCAAAATTCAACAGAGCAGCAAACAACAAATTCTGGCGAGGTTGTGGAGAAACTGGAACTCTTATTCACTGTTGGTGAGAGCGTAAAATGATGTAACCACTCTGGCAGGCAGTATGGTATTTTCTCAAAAAGTTGGAAATAGAAATCCCATTTGACCCAGCAATTCCACTACTGGGACTATATTCTAAAGAAGCCAGAACTGCTACCCAAGCAGATATATGCACACCCATGTTTATTGTTGCTTTATTCACAATAGCAAAGAGTTGGAAACAATCCAAGTGCCAACAACAAATGAATGGTTAGAGAACTGTGGTATAGTCACACAATGGAATATTGTGCAGCATTGGAAAAACAAGAAACTCATGAAATACTATACAAATGGGTGACCCTTGGAGGACATTATGTTGAGTGAAATATCTCAATCCCTAAAGGACAAATACTGCATAATGCCACTGTTACGAAACAGTTTGGGGGAAAACTAAGAAAAGAGGGGATAAATAATGTACACTGCATTGGAATAGATGAGGGAGAGAACTGTTTAAAAAGGATATATGATTAGGTATTATCTGCATGGGAATAGTCCAAAACAAGAGCTGCATAGTAAAGTAGACAAGGGCGGGGGGAGGGGAAAGAGAATTGTAAACAATGAAATAGTTTTTTTTTTCTCTCAAAGAGAAAAGCAAACTGGTGGGGGAAGGAGTGGGCAGGGAGGAAAATGTGCAACAATAAATAAATGGAAATCCAAGTTCTCTATAATAATCTTTCATTAAAATATAAAATAAATTTTTTAAAAAACCCCCTCAATTAAAAAAGCTTCATGATATACTGGAAATCTGGCTTGTTTTGTCTGTTTTTTAACCAAGGGCTGAATACTTATCATTCTGATCCTGTTTTTAGATAGCAAGCCATTTTACAGTTCAACACTCCTAGGCTTACCTGGAGTGGTGCTTCTCTCCCAGGAGACAGTGAGCACTCCCGTGTCAGGGTTTGACTCCAAGTGCAAGTTGGTTGGTGGAGACAAGGCTAAGCAGAAAGAAAAGTTAACATTGAAAGTGAAAGCTAGCATAAAGCATTTGACTTCATTTTCCTTAGAATCAGTGAAAATTTAGGCATTGCATTATGGAAATATTTCTCTCTCATAGTTGCTGAGTTGGTTCTAACTCACAATTAACTATCTATTGGGTTTCTAAAACTATAAATTGCCCAGAAGAAAGTCCATCTTTCTCCTATGGAGTATGTTGTGGATTCAAACAACCAGAGAGGCTTGGCCTTTGAGTTAACAGCTCTTTAAAAACTGGACTCTCGGGGAGCTCTGGTGGCCTAGTGGCAAGGAGCTGCAACTACAATCCCAGAGGTGCATGGTTCAAATCCACCAGATGCTCTGCCAGGGAAGGAGGGACAATCTCCTCCTGTACCAGTCAGATCTGATTTGACAGTACACTCACACAAAAATAATAAAATAAAATAAAAACAAAACAAAACAAAAAAACCCCTGGACTTTCTGAGCTCCCTATGTTAAAAATATAGTAGAAATCAATTGTGTTAAAGAGTGATGTTACCCTATTCCTAAACTTCTTTGTTTAGTTCACAATAGCTCTAAAATAATCTTGGATGACTTGGAATATCTACCATCAGGTGAACCCGGGTCTCTGAATCAGAAATAGCTACTAATATGAGTGAGTTAAGAAAACAAACACCTGGGCCATTATCATATCTAAAACAGGATCTGATATTAGCCTTTAAAAAAAATGGTACTGAAAACCAGAAGCAAAGAAAGAAAACAAAATTGCTCTCCTTACGTGTCACCACTCGGTTCACGATAGGTTTCTCTTTTTCTTTGCCGTCTCTCAGGACTGAGATGGTGTAAATGTATTCCACACCTGGCGTCAGGCCAGAAATGACAATGCTTCCTGATTCTGAAGTCACTTCTTGTGGTGCTTCCCCTCCTAGGCTAGGCCGTACCCCCAGCTAGAAGAAGGAAAGAAAAATAAATGCCAGTGACAAATATATCCAGGCTTGGGTTCCTGTGGGAGGCTGCAGTTATATGCTTTCTATAACATGAACTCCCCAGGAAATGCACAATGCACTTGTTCTGAGGAACGAGTGTGGGGTCCTATTTTAGATTCTTATACAGTTGAGCTGGAAATTCCCTGTTCTGGGAAGCCAGGCTGCTGATGGTGTATATAAAAGTTGCACCAGGGTGGCTTGTAATAGAAGGTACTAAAGAAATGTCATTCGGCATTCTTTCACTTGATCAACCATCTCCTGGGACAAAGTGGAAGTACAGAGAGGTTTGGGACTATGTGGTAACTCATGTCTATCTTCTTTGTGCTACAAGAAACTCCTAGGACTTTTTCACGTGGGATTCATTTCTAGGTGATCACTTAAAAGTCTCTAACAAAGTGCTTAGACTGGCAAAGACACTTCCGGCGAAGAAATGTGTTCATAGCATTAACTGCAGGACGATATGTCACCAAAGAATTAAAATGAATGCATTCATCAACTTTTAAAATTCTCTTAAAATTCGACTTTTTAAAAAGTGAGGTAACCTTGTCAAACAGAGTACTCTAGAGACATCTTTCCTGTATTACATGGCTTCTTAAGATCAGAATGACACCATTAGAACAGGAATGTCAAAGGTGAACTGGAAAAGCACCAAAAAGGGCTTCTCCATAAATAGCTTAATTATCAATGTGTCTGTTTGCACAGCTCAAAAAGGAAGGGACCTTTGGTCTAGTCTCTAAAAACCACCACAGGATTTTTGTCTTCAAGTCATAAAAAAAAAATTTCCCCCTTCCGCATTCTGAATGCCAAAGAAAGGAATTCTATTCATTTGTATTCATCACTTCTCTGGTATTATTGCTTTGAAGAACACGAATCAAGATATCTACAGGGAAGATCTGCATTTTAACTTGCATTATGAGATTTACCCACAGGGGTTTAAACAAGTTGAGATGAAACTGACTGGATAAAAATGTGATTTTTTAAATGACTCAGAGTTTAATTGGTCTCCCGAAATTGGCTTTCGGTGAACTTGTTGACACTCAATTTGAAATAACACATCAAATGCAGTCTCCCCAATTTTCACAAGTGCAATTCCCTGGAGGGGAAGGATAGAGAAAATAAGGCAACACAAACAACTACTAAAAGTTCCAATCTAATGTTTTATCCCTTGTAGAGCGCTTTCACAGCGACTTTTTCATGCCATCCTACCAGTAAGTAATTCATTGCATTTTTATGTCCTAACTGGGCTGGAGCTAGGGTCAGAGGTCAAGAGAGAAGCAGCAGATAATAAAATCCAAGTCCCCTAACTTGCGCTTATGTTGTTTCTACCCTACCCTGGGGAACTTTGGACCCTTTCAAGGTAGATTTGAAACACCTGCAATTTACCTTAAAACCAATCCTTGGTGCAGGTGTCCACGTAATCACAATGGTGGTCTCAGTCACCTCTGTGTTGTAAGGTGGGATGGAGCCTTGAGGCTGCACTGTGGAAAGAAATCAATACGTATATTTAACCCTTGGGATCACAGACAATTGCATGGAAAAAGTATCTCCACTGAGCACCTCAGATGAAGTAAATAGTGGATTCCGGATGTACCAGGGCTAGACATTGGAGCAGATGTTGTTGTGTGCCATTGAGTCAGAACTGATTCATGACTGACCCTCCGTTGAATTTTCAGAGGCAGTAAATTGCATGGAGGAGACAGCTCATCTTTCTCCCACGGAGCATCTAGTGGATTCAAACCACATGCCTCCGGGTTGGCAGCACAACTCCTTACTCACTAAGCCACCCAAATAGGAGATTAGATAGCTTTCAAAGAGGTCTCTTTTTTAATTCTTTGGATGGTCTGATTTATGCCTTTTAATCATGGTCAGGAATTGAGTTAGAGGACAACAAATTCACTTACATCTTCAGTATAAAATCTCATACAGAAAGTAAAATCAGATCAACGACGGATCAATCAGCATCTTACTTCTAAATCATTGAGAACAATGGGGTATATATTACATTATAAATAGAAATCTAAGCATAGCTTTTATAATGAATTATTCTATAATGATGGTCATTTCTTTATCAAGACAAGAAATAGTAGATAACATCTGTCTCCATGAAAAATACTTATAAAGATTCATTCCCTGGATATGATTATTCATTTACAATAACAATACTACAGATATATAATATTCTGCTACTGAAATGAAAAAAAAAAATTCAACCAAAGTTTACTTTATATTTTTTAGCATCTTGATACCATTATTATTTCTCTTAGTGGAACTATTACTTTCTCTAAGAGAAAAGATGAAAAAGAGAATGTATACACCAAAGTGAAGGCAGATGTTCCCAATAGTCTTGTAAATCTTGTTACACATTTAAGGTTTGTAAATTATACTTGGCAGGCGAGTTAGATGGGCTGAATTCAAGAGTACTAAATGTGTTAACTGCCCTAGTCAAGCTGAATGCTTTTCTCTGTATGTCCCAAACCAATTATATTCTCATTAGAAAAAAAACTGATAAATATTGTATTCAATTAATTTACACCAAGGTAAGTGACTAGTGAGACAAAATGTTATCCTCTAAAGTTACATGAACCTAGGTTAGAAGATATTTAGACTCTAGGGTCTACATGACTTGGGCTCCAGACAATTTTCTTGGTCATACAGGAAGCACTCAGGTCAAACACTTCAGCTCTTCCATTATTTTCCATCTGGATGTTAATGTGCAATTTTTGTTTTCTTTTTCATTTTTAAAATACCATGGAGGGGGAGGAATATTAAATGCACGTGTGGCCCAGTTTGTAATGTCTGCTAGGATGGCAGAATTAAAATGTTGCTGGCTTAATAAGCTGTGTTGTAAGAATATTGTTTCAATGGCATTACAGGGGGTAATCATCATCATCAATATCAGATGGGTGACCTGTGTCGCCTTCCTAGTCTCTCTGAAACCATGGAACACTTGACTACTGCTGACTTTTCTGAAAAGCCATGGCCAAGACAGTATGACAATGTTAATTGTCCTTGAGACACAGTACAAGGAGCAGTGAGCTTTCCTCATTGAACATCTGTGAGAGCCACAACTTTTTCATGGATAATATTTTCTATCATCCTGGGCTTTAAAACTGGGTGTTTTCTGTTGCCTGAGCCAACCAGCTAGAATCTTCCCAAGTTTAACATGATGCTGTCTGCCTGGGAAGACCATTACAGGAACGTCTCCAAACCACAGAGCCACAAACGAACGGCAGACAAAGGATGTGGCTGTAAGTATGACCTATGGCTTTTGGCAGCTCCTGCCAGGTGAAAAACAATCTGGCTGTTAAAGAAATAAAATTTGCCCTATTTATAAAGGAGTAAGCTGAATTTTTCCCAGAAGCAGCCTTACCCCCACCTCTTCTTCTAACACATTTGCTCTTAAGAATTTAGCACAAGTTATAAAACCCAGGAAAGTTATTCCCAGAAACCAGACTAGCAAGACAGTAAAAGAGTGGTAGAAACAAAAAACAATTCAAAACTACACAGGCCCAGCTGATGTCTTCAGCCTTCGGGAGCGTCTGAGGCTCAGCTGGACGGAGAACTCCGTGACTATGAGGGGTGACTGAAAGCCAGCCTTAGTTAGTTGAGCCTCTGCTTTCGTCATTCTTTCCTGAGTCAATCATCCATTCAATAAATATTTGTAGGAAAAAAAATACCATGTGCAAGACAAAATGTTCACCTTAATCTAAAGAATGTGTTGACTATCAGTACTTTCATTCAAATATAATGGCGTTTCATAGCTATTGAACACAGCATAAAGGTGCTCAACATATCAAAGTCCCCACATATGCTTGAAACCGCCTATATTCACCCCTCTCCGTGTGTGTGTGTGTGTGTGTGTGTGTGTGTGTAAATATATATACAAATACAATCTGAATTATGTAAAAAGTGCCCTATTTTAAGGAGTAGAAAAGAAACAAATAGACTCTATACTTCACAATTAAGAGCTACACTTACTAAAATCTCCACTGTAACGCAGTGATGGGCGTCTCTATGAATTAAACATTTATGTGAAATAAAAGCATGAGTCTCCTAGTAACAGACTTTAAAGTATTGCAAAATTTTGACAGTGAATTTACTCTTAAATGAAAAACCAGCATTATTTGCCTATGATTAAGATACTTCAGAGCAAAATCTTCATTGCAAACTTCACACACCTAATTTTTAAGTGTAAGTAATTTTGAGGGTAAATTATAACTTCTCACAAGGAAAAAAAATTAAATTAAAAAAATGCTATAGTTATTTATAGGTTACTTTTTAGTCATACTTTGAAGGTCTTTCAGTCTTTGAGCCAGCTATAATTTTAAGTTAGTCAAAAGTGTAAGATTTGATGAAAGCATTTGGAAAATTGCAAATATGTTCATAGTTGCAATATATGCTGAAGAAAGCACTTATGTGAGGGATTTCTGTAAATCGAAATGTTAGGTTCAAAATAACAAATACCATTCAAGGAGGAATAAGGAGTCTCATAATTCTTTGTAATGTAAATGCAAACGTGCATAACGGAAATCTGTTTGCGCATTCAGACTTTTATTATAATGTAATAGTAGCAGATTTAAGACCACTTTCTTGAGAATGCTGGGGCACAAGAAAAGCCATGACTAGAAATTATTGTCAGCGTGTCCTCCTCCACGGAATGTCAAGAATAATTTAAGGAAAGGGAAAATAAAACCAAAAAACCCAGCCATTTCATTCTGTAGGAATACTTTAAGCTGTCACACTCAACATTTCCTAAATGCTTTGTTTGTATGCACTTGGTAGATGTTCCTTACCTTACATTTCATAGCTATTATTTGACACCCAAACTATTAAAATTGAGCCACAAGTGCCAATTATTTTCTTGGTTTGCTAGTATTTGGGACAGTCATTTAACATAATAGGATCTAGTTTCCAAAAATCTGGATACTTTAAATTTGTGCTACTCCAAGGGCTGGTCTCCGTGAAAAAGCTTAGCAATGTGTGCAGCTTCCTTCATCAAGAAAGTCTTGAGTCCAAGAAATTACCAATGGAACTAACCAGACAGCATGTTTCAGCATGTATATTCTAGCACACTCTTTCTCTTGAGTACCAGTAACAGACAATTGATGGACCATGGACCACATTTTGCATAGAATTTTTTTTTCTTTTCTTGTTGGGTACCACTGAATCAGATCCGACTGGCACAGAAGGAGATTGTCCCTCCTTCTCCAGCTGAGTTCTGGTAGATTCAAACCATGTACCTTTAGGATTGCAGTGCACATTCTCTGCCACTAGGCCACCAGAGCTCACAGAATTATTTTAAATCACATACTAAGTTTTCCAAGTTAACTTTTTTAAATGGTATGAAGCATTGAGAATATAACTACAGTTAAGAATCTCTAACATCACTGAGAAATAATCTTTAAACGTTGACTTACGTGTAGTAAAGATTCCAGTGACTTTGGGGCTCTGTTGGTTGCCTTTGACAGCTATGAGGGTGACAGTGTACTCGGTTCCAGGTTGCAGGTTCCTCAGTGGGTACTGAGTGGCCGAAGCCCCCACGTTGTACTGTTTCGGTTGGCCTCCTCGGGTCTGACCCACAGTCATGCGGTATCCTGCTATCTGTGCCCGAGGTGGGGTCCAAGTTACCAAGACTGTCGTGTCTGTCTCATTGGTGAACTGGAGGTTACTGGGTGAATCCAATTCTGGGGAAAAAGATGAAACATGCCAAGAAACATGAGTAATAGGATGGTAAAATTCTAAAGGTTAACTAGATTTTCCAAGCTTTCCTCTCCTCATGGTTGAAGCCAAGTAAAATCAAAACCCAGAAAACTGAACCCTAACACGATTGAGAGCTACACAGAACGAGGCCAAAACTGTGCTATTCGTGAGAACTCTCTGTTTGACTACAAACCTTTAGAAAGTCTCATTTTCCAGCATGACATTCCCACCATTCTTAGAAACTGTACAATGACTTTTAAAATAAACAACGCAAAACACTGGAGTACTCCACAATTTATTCTACTTTGGGCCAAATAGTTATAAAGAGGTATTTATAAAGCACACTAAAATAAGAGCAACAGGAAAGTTGATAGCGCCACACAGAGTAAATGTAATACTCTATGCATTTACTGACTGAAATAAAACTTATTTTCAAATGACTCAGACCTGTGGTTGTTAGTTGCCACTGAGTTGCTTACAGCTCACAACAACCCCAAATATGCAGGGAAGAACTGGAATCTACATGGTTTTCAAGGCCGTGACTGTGCCGAAGGAGATCGCCCAGCCTTGTTTCTAAGACATCTCTGAGTAGTTAGCATGGGTCAACCTGCAGGTTAGTAGCCCCACATTTAACCCTCTGGGCTACCCAAGGACACAGACCAGACATAATTCTAACCTGTATTCAAAATCTCAGATTCATGTGCATACTAAAATATTTCAGAAAAACTACCAGGAAAAAAAAAATCATAAACTGCAGGTTTCCTTCTTGAGTTCTCCCGAAAAAACATAAAATGCCACTCAGCACAGGAAATGTTTTGAGGGTACAAACTCTGAAGTAGGAACAGCATAGGCTTTATGTCATTTCCCAGGTCTCTGGCCTTAGCAAAGTACAGAAATTTTTTTTTATGCCTTTTGGTTTCTTTGCTTCTGTATCCAACAGGGGCAATAATGTGACCTACTTCATAAGGTCCAAATGAAGGTGAAATAAGATAATTCTTACAAAACCCTGAGCTGGGGGTCTAATGCCCAATAAACTCTGACTATTTTAGCCATTAACATTCATAAATCATTCTAAATTGCACTGAAAAACTACATTTCAAGTTTATTCTAGATGCATTTGGTTACAGAAAAATGTACTCAAATTATTATTCCATAAGCAGAAGTAATTAGATTCAGCTCTCTTAGTACCATCTCCCTGATACATATATTATTGTAATTTTTTTTTTTTAGATATGGTTTATTGCATGCAGTGGTGTCTCTCTGGAGGCTAAGGTGCGTCTGATACAGGCCATGGTCTTCGCAATCACCTGTTATGCATCAGAGAGTTGGACAATGACCAAGGAGGATAGAAGGAGAATTGATGCCTTTGAGCTGTGGTGCTGGAGAAGAGTATTGAGAATACCATGGACTGCTAGGAAAACAAACAGATTTGTCCTGGAAAGGGTTAAACTGGGTGGCTCCTTGGAGGCAAGGATTCTGAGGCTCTAACTTACTTTTGAACATGTTGTGAGGAGAGACCGGTCCTTGGAGAAGGACATCATGCTTGGGTGGGTGGAGGGACAGCGCAGGAGAGGAAGGCCCTCTATGAGGTGGATTGATTCAGTGACTGGGATGATTGGGATGGGAGTGTCAGAGACAGTGCGATTGGCACAGGACAGAGCGGAGTTTAGGGCTGTCGAACATAGGGTCACTATGAGTCGCAGGCGACTCGACGGCACATAACAACAACAACATGGTTTATTACTTAGCTTCCACAGAGTTTATGTGTGTTTTAAGTTTAACTCTGTTTTATGTTCCCTACACATTTCATCTCAGCTGAAAGTCTTCCTATTTCTAAGATCTAAACCCTCATAGCTGTCACTTTATCAGGCTGTGGTGTCCCAGTGCTTCCCTGATGCTGAAAGCTATGTCACTGGCAGTACAAACACCAGCAGGTTTACCACAGTGGGCAGGATTCAAGGGGAACTTCCAGACTAAGACAGTGATGGAGGACAACCTTTGTGATCTACTTCCAAAAACCAGCCAAGAAAAGCCCTGTGGATCATGACAGACTGTTGTCTGATACGAGGCATCATTAAAAACAGACTAGAAAAAAAAATCGGAAAAAAAAAACACCAAAAACCAGACTCGAGCATACCAAAGATTATGAAGGTGGTGCAAGACTGAACAGCATTTGGTTCATTGTACGTGGCATTGCCATGAGTAAAAACCAACTTGGCAACAGCTAACAAGATATGAATGCTGGAGTCGGGAAGTTGGTGTGCTGCGTGTTCACTCAGGTTGGAAGAGGAGGTGGACTATTTTGGTGTTGAGATAAAGCCAGGGGCAGGACTTACTGGTGGTCTGTTGGCCAGTCAGAGGCTTGCTCTGCCTTCCCTGATTCATTGCGAAGATTTTGAAGTAATAGGTGACGCCAGGGGACAGCCCGGTGACCTCAGCAAAGGTGTTCCTGCTGACGGGCAGCTGCTGGCCGTGCTCCCCAGGCAGGTTGGTGGGGATCACCTCCACGAGGTACCCAGTCACCGTACTCTCAGGGGGCGTCCACATGATGGTGATCTTCACGTCGGTCACCTCCACGAACTGCAGGTCCTTGGGAGGGGGAACTTTATCTACCAGACAAAAACCAGGAAATCACAAATCCTGTCGAAGATGAGTGAGTTCTGCAGAGCCAGCAGCATGGATGTTAGTCAGCTCAGAGAGCTTCCATCCAGAGCAAAGCTGAGTCGTGTCTCCTAACCAACGGTGACATGCTTCTCTGAATATATTATTTTGTGGCTCAGTTACATTGCTTACATTATGATATTTGACTTTTGGACATAAAATATGTAGATAGGCAGCTAAATTTCTACATAAACAATGTCAAACCTACGAGTATGAAATAAACATTCCCAAAGAAATCTTATGATAAGGATTACAGGCAAGAATGTGGTGGTTTTCATTTTAATGAAAACACCTGATAATACTTAAGATCAGCTGATGAACTGACCCTTAAATTTCTGAGGGAAAATAGGAAGACTTCATGTTATCAGCTTTTAACAGAAAGACTAATCACTGGCTTTAGTAAGTTGCTTTAAAATACAGATATTTCATCAGATATCAAGAATTTAGAAATGAACCACTATAGCCTCTGGCAGTCAAATCTATTAATGGCTACTTGAAAGAAAAATGAATAATCACCTCTCCTGGGATTTACAGCCTCTGAAACCCCACTAGAGGGTCAGCTATGAGTCTTTTCAGACTTGAAGGCAATACCGAGACTCTGTAAGATGACTTGCTGTAGACAGAGACAAAACAACCATTCTTTGGGAGCACAACCCTCTTTTAGTCTTATACTTCCTGTCTTCTCCTGGAAGTTAACCGAATGAGCACATTCCAAGGACAAACTTCTTCCTCTAAGGGAAGTCAAAGACTTTCATCTGATTAAAGTCTAAGAGATACAATGACAATCAAAAATACTCACTGTTCTTAAGTTAGAATCAACTCCTTGCTGCCCCTTGAGTGGGTTTGTGAGCTGAAAATCACACAGGAGGATATTGCCCCTCTTTCCCCACAGGAGCGTCAAAAGTTTGAAGTTGGAAAAACACTGAGAGTGCATCTGCCATTCAACATCTTTCATGCACTTTCTCCTACACATTTCCTGAGTAATGGATACTCATAAATTACCACTGTTACCATGAGGAAATTTGTTTTCTCCCCTTTTGAAATGAACGCAATGAAAGTCAAGGAAAGCATGGCAGCAAACAAGGATGTGTCTTAAGGTCTCACCGGATCGGGGGACACCCGTGGTCTCCTGCTGGATGAAGACAGGTGTGCTCTCTTGATTTTCCTCCACAGCGTAGATGGTGATGTTGTACCGCATGCCGGGCTCCAGGTCACTGAGGGTGACGGAATTGGCCGTTTCAGGAAGGTTAAGTTCGGTGCTACTTCCTTCAATAGATGGTGAGTAGACTATCCTGTACCCTATGGATACATGAGGGAGAGGAGGAGACACACTGCTTCAGAAGACAGTTTTTCAAAACTACGTATTCTACCTTTCTAATTCTTTTGCTGAATGAGTTAAAAAATGGGTGATTTTTTTTAAACTTTCTTTTTTCATTTTTTATTGTGATTTTTAACAAAAATTTACAGAAAACTTGAATTTCCATTCATTGTTGCACATTTTCCTTCCTACCCCCCTCACCCCCATTTCACTTTTCTTTTTAAAAAATTCATTCATTGTTGGATTTTTTCCAGTATTGTCATTTTCTTTCTTGTTTTTGAAGCTTTTTCATTTTTTTTTCAATGTGTGTGGTTCTTGTGAAAGTTTACAAAGCAAACGGATTTTTTTAAAAAGTATTTTAAGGGGAGCTCTGGTGGCCTAGTGGCAAGAAGCTGCACTGCAATCCCAGAGGCGCACGGTTCGAATCCACCAGATGCT